TACATGTTCTGTAACATGACTTTTTTTATATACCTTAGTAATGGACACTTTCCACATCAGCAAATAGAGATCTACTGCATTCTCAACAGCTAAAATGGTATTCCATTGTGTGAACCCATAATACATTATTTAATCATTCCCTGATGGATAAACATCACTTTTTTGCTATAATAAATAAAAAAGGCTGTAAAGAAAAACTTTGTGTTCATATTTTTCATGCAAGTCTATGAATATCTATAGGACAAATTCCTAGAAGTGGAATTTCTGGGTCATAGGATATGCACATTTTAAATTCCAATAGACACTGCCAAATTTACCTCCAAGAAAACCTACATTTCTGCCAACAGTATGGGAGAGGTCCAACTTCCCCACATCCTCATCCACTACTTGCTGTCATCAGCTTTTTACATCTTTGTCAATTTGTAAGGTAAAAAGCGGTAATTCTTATTTTACTTTGTATGTATTTAAATAATGAGGATTACTGAATTTATAGTTGAAGTAGATTTTTAATTGACTTAGTTGTAGGCCAAGCTGAACTGCCTATGGAGAAAAGAAGTTTGAGAACTACTTAACACTATAATTGGGGAGACTAGTAATGTTTAACCAATTTGGGATCTTAGCATGGAGCAGACAATGATGCCAACCACAAATGAGAATGTCTTCATTAAAGCACACTTACCTCTCATTTGAAATGCATTGTTATAAGCTCTTCAAGCTATGCCATACATTTTAGAAACATTTTTTTAAGGGTATATTCAATTCCATAATCATGTATTCTCCTTCTCTTTGCTTATAATACCCCTCTGGTCCGTTCACTTTGATAATATTTTACTTTTTTATATATATACTGTTTATTCATCTGACCTTTGACCTACTTTAAATGTTATGGTCCAAGAGCATAATTCATGTCTAGCCATGAGCAGCCAATATAATTAAGACAACTGATAAATGTGATTGTATTAGAACATAGAAAAAGGACAGCTAGCCAGTTAGCTCAGTTGGTTAGAGTACAGCCTTATATCACCAAGGACATGGGTTTGGATCCTTGAACCAGTGAGCAGCCAGGAAAAAAAACATAGAAAAAGAAGAGTAAGAGATGTAAACGTTAGCCAGTGGCCATCCATAAGGATGTTCTAGGCATTCTAATTTATAAAAAAATATATTAATACACACACTCTAAGAATGCTTACATAAATGAGATGACCTCTGTTCATCAATGTTGATCCCTGTCAAGAGCTAGATGTCTATGATTATAAAGCTATTAGCAATGACAGCCAAACTGAGCTAATTTACACATTTTCTTACCTGATTTTCTTTGTGGCCACGTCCTGGTAACAGTTTTTGTCAAGGAAAATCTAATTAGCTATAACAGGGACTTTGACCTTATTATTCTCATAAATTAGTATCCATAACTGCAAAAATAAGTACTACAAATTATCTGGCATTCCAGAAAGGTATTGGCTCAAAACCGATAAATCAGTAAACTCCTGTCTATCCTTCCTTTAATTTTATTTTCCTTTTTTTTTTTAAAAGATGACCAGTAAGGGGATCTTAACCCTTGACTTGGTGTTGTCAGCACCATGCTCTCCCAAGTGAGCTAACCGGCCATCCCTATATAGGGATCCGAACCCATGGCCTTGGTGTTATCAGCACCGCGCTATCCCAAGTGAGCCACGGGCCAGCCCTAGCCTTCCTTTAATTTTCAACTAATGTTTATATTCACAAAATAAACTGATCCTTAAGACTTTATTTCAAAGTCAAAAGCTCTTGCTTTTTTAATACATCAACATGACCTATCCAAGTGAGCACAGGACATATCCTACACATTTTCTTTCCCATGCCAGAGATAGAAAGGAAGAGATAAGAGCAGGAGGCAGGAAAGAGCAGACACCAATGTGACAAAATGCTAAAGCCAAGCTATAAATTATCTTTTGGTTACTCTCTGCTGCATTTTGAAAAAGCTACAAAGGTAGGGCCTATCCTTCCTTTGGAGAGATACAAGAATCATATAAAAGCATCTCCTAACTAACAACAGTGCTGCCTTCCCATCCCTGATACAACTTGCCCAGCAAGAGAAGCACTGCTGAGATCTAAAGACAATGACTGGAAACTCTCTATTCTGATGATGAGAGGGAGCAGGGAAGACCAGCTTCCTGGGCTCTAAACTATGCCAGACTTCCCTTGCTAATCCTCCCCAAATCCCACAACATTGGAGTGGGGGTGGGGGACAGAATAGAAAACAATCCAAAACTGAATCAAGGACAGTAGTTCTAGGTTACAGAAGGTCGTAACATTCCTATTTGTTTTTTTTTTTTGTCTTTTGTCTTTTTCTCCGTGTCCGGCAACGGATCGCAACCCTCAGTGTTGCCCCCGTACCGGACCNGTCTTTTGTCTTTTTCTCCGTGTCCGGCAACGGATCGCAACCCTCAGTGTTGCCCCCGTACGGGACCCGGGACCGGCAACGGGATCGCAAGCCTCGGTGTTGCTCCCGCGCCTCGCTCAGCCAGTGAGCGGGAGCCGGTCTGTATGTGGGATCCGAACCCTCGGACGGGAGCGCCGCCGCGCTTCCCAAGCGGCGCACTATCCAGTGCGCCACCGGGCCGGCCCGTAACATTCCTATTTGAATGGGAGGAGGAGATAGTGGAGTGGGAAAAGGCCTCCATATACAAAAGCCTTTAAAACACATCTTTAAAACACAACAAAAATGAATTTTATCCCTGATCCTTCAGATGTGCTAATCAACATCTGCCCCCAATCATTTGCCAGCCCTGGCTGCACGGAAGGCATAGAGTAGCAGGCATATTCACAGGCTGGAAGAGATGCTACTAGAGTGTAAATTACTAATTAGCTCAATAGAAGACAAAGAGAGAAAATACCTGTCAGAGAATGCTGTTTACAACTTGACATATAATAAAAACAACGCTGAAAATTTCAGAAGAGTGCCTTACTTTCCAGATTTCTATTAACATGTGAATGGAAAAGGAACAGCATTATAGTCTTTAAAAACTGCCCATGTCTCAGAAACAATAATACATGACTAGAAAGAATGCTTTCAAAATAATTTGTAATTTTCTCATCCTTATGAAAGGGAAGTGTTTTTAATTATTACAATCAGCTTTAATAAAGAGCTATATTTCATAGCTTTGATGATTGCTTAAAGAGGGAGAAAAAAGGAAAAGAAGCCCACAAGTGCTGTATTTTACACTTGTCAGAATACAGCTATTCCTTCCACTTAAATCAGACAGGGCTTTCCATATGTCACACCATTATCAAATGGACAGGCTATCATTTTAATGACAATCAGAGATGACTGGAGGTAGGAGGGGGTCAGTTAAATTTCTTTATATGACAACAATTGTAAAGATTCACAAAATTTAGGTTGATTTTGTGGGGAGGTAATGGAATGTTAAGGTATTTCCATTCATCCCCTTACCATAAGGCATTCATTGTATTAATCCCAGCCAGTGTTCTTAAAGCAGTACATTTTGCACTTTGATCTTTTCTAGCTCCTTGAAGCAAAATAAGAATCTTCAAAATATGCATTCCACCTAAATATTTCTTGGTCACGGTACTGAAAGGCCCTGTGGCTCCTGTTTTTCACACAATAATCACCAATACATCATCAATAGCATTTCCTGAGGACACGCCCATGTGTGAGCTCATCATGCCACGTACTAGGGAGGTTCCCAACAGAGGGGAAAACCACGAGACAGTTTTTATTGATGTGAAGGCCTACAAATCCATCATTCACAGGTGAAAGAATCTTTTTCAGAATGTACTGAAGACACTAAACCATAAAACCACAAAATCCTCTCTAAATCCAATCTTAAGATTACTTTCCTTCAAGTGCTTGACTAAAATCAAACACATGTCAAACTTTTTGATATACTCAAAACAGTCTTCCCTTTTGTTTTTTTTTTTTAAATTAAGGTCTTCATATGCATTTATTTTCAATTTTACTCATTTAAAGATACTCATGTGAGAGAAAATGATAAAGCAAATGGGCTAAAATGAAAAAAACTGGTGAATTTGAGTAAGGGTATACAGAATTTCCTTGTAGCATTTTTGCAACTTCTCTATAAGTTTGAAAATTGTAATAAAATCAAAAGTCACCAAAAAATAGAATATTAACAACAGAAGCCCCTTTGTAGCGTTGTTTCAAGTTTCAAACAATTCACATACTTAGCTAATGCTGGGCTTTTAGTAAACACTCAGTAATTTTTAGTTCTTTTTAAAAGTGAATGGATCACCTGCCAGCTGTTAAAAAAAAAAAAGAGTGCATCAGTCTGTATAACCAAATTAAAGCATGGGTAAATGTACTTAGTATATTACTTAGGCACACATAAAGAGAAGACAGTAAAAAAAAACAGCAAGTATCTGAATGGATTTTGCTTATGGATGTCTGCACTGAGATAACACCAGAGCACAGACCAAGGTTAGAATCCTATCCCCACCACCTGGTAAAATTCTACCTTTTGAGCTAAAATAAAGATTAAATGTATCATTGGGTTAATACTTGACAAAAAGTAGTATTATTTGTACTAAAAGATTATTAACTATCAAATGAGTAGTTGTAGAAATGTCTGAGTATAACCTTGGGTAGTCATTCAATCTCAAGGACCCTCTATTTCATCACAGGTAAAATGGGAAAAGTATAGTACCTACTTCAAAGGATTATGGTGCGGAGAAAATGAGTTACAGTTTGCAAAGCTCTTAAACAGTGGCTGGCACAAAAATATTACACATGGGTTAGCTACTATTATTAAGTTTATGAAGAACTAAGGTCTTACAAATACTATAGTAAGCAAATATTTTTTACTCAAAAATTGAGAATGGGGCAAGAGGAAACAAATACAAATATAACATTAAGTGTGTGCTAGTTAGATAGAAGACAGACTCTCCTGATAGAAAAAATAATTCAGTGCTGGAAAAGATTATCTACAAGGGCTGCCACATTATTGTTAAAGATTTATAAGAAAATTGGATAAATTTTTATCTACCTGGGATGATTTAAGTGGGATAATGACTGAAGTTGCAGGATAAGCTAGAGGTTCTTTCAAGGTCTCTTCCCATCCAAAGAATCTACAATTAACCAGAAAAACATTTAATTATGTACAACCTACTCATTCAAATCTGAAAATATAAACTTAAAAGTTTTTGGCAAATATGATTATATCAAAATAGAGTTAAACTAGGTAGAATTCCACTTTATGAACAAATAAAAATAAAGCTTAAATTTATCACTGAAGTCTCTATTGATAAAAAGCATTATCTGAATTAAAAGATTATCCATTTTCAATTTTAGAGATACCTAGTGATCACAATGAGAATCAGTGATTTAGCACACCACAGTAGCATACAGAAGCCAAAGGCAGGACCAAAACGGACTCTTTCCCTTGGTTGATCTTATAGTTAAATTTTCTTCTTTACCAATATCAAATTAGCCTAAAATAATTAATAAGAAGATATCAAGTTTAAAACAATTACATTATAAAAAATGGCAACACCGTACACAGACTACAACCTACTACCAACATCAGTCCAGACACACTTGCTAGAGAAGGGAATATGCACACACATCTCACAGAAACAGATGCCTCATATTAAGGTTCTGCTTCTCTTGAACGTTAACATTTTCAGACTAATCCTCTTAAAACTTAGCAGAAAAATAGTAATTTTAAAAAACCCTCTGTTAAATTGCTAAATCAATGTAGTCACCTTGATTGAACATGTGCTTACCAGAATCCAGGAAACAAACCACAAACTAAATGCTAGCCATTAACACAGCTAACTCTGGATCCAGAGTTAAGATTCATATTCATATATATTAATAAACAATTTTTCTGATATCCACAAATCAAAATCTAATCTTTGCTAACTATTATAAATGTCATAAACCTAATCTTTACCTTTTATACAAACACCTTCAAAATGGTAGCTATCTAAAATTTACACCACTTTGAAAAAAAAGTATCTTTGTATGTATGAATGTAACTAATGAAATAACCCCAAATAAGATTCTTAAAAACAGTTTGCATTTTTTCCTATGTGAGTTATATGCTATCCTTTGGCACCATCAAATGCAAAGTAAATATTCATTCATATTCTTAGCTAAATGTAAAACCTTCAGAATAAAAATTATTACAACAAAATACTAAGTAAGAGTAACCTAAATTTTGTCCCAAATTTCTTCCTTTTAATTTCCAAAAGTGTCTTAAAAATCAAAAGCTTCAGGCCGGCCCATGGCTCACTTGGGAGAGTGTGGTGCTGATAACACCAAGGCCATGGTTTTGGATCCCTATATAGGGATGGGTGGTTAGCTCACTTGGGAGAGCATGGTGCTGACAACACCAAGTCAAGGGTTAAGATCCCCTTACCAGTCATTTTTCAAAAAAAAAAAAAAAAACCAAAAAAACTGTACTCATATTAAAGAAAAAAAATTGGAAAAAAGTAATACTGACATAACATGGATGCAACAAAAGTTCTGAATGTGGTATACGAATGACTAATGTTTGGGAAATGCTTTGAACAGCCACATTGGAAATGCCCAGCAACTGACTGAATTTCTTCATTTCTGTACCAATATTAGGTATCTGCCAACTTAAAAAAAATTTTTTTTTAATCCCCTTGTGCTTTGTGTAACCCCTGACAACCATAAAACATGAGAAGTAGTGGAGCTGTCCAAGGCTCCAGTTTGTATTATCTTAGAGATTTTTTTCATAAAAATTACTCCTAAATTCATTATTTAACCTAAAACATAAGTCCACCATGCTACAATTCTCCCTTTCTTTATTCCATTTTGTTAAGTGGGTGAATTACCTACTACAATATGAAATGTCCCACACAAAGCTAAAGGCAGCTTAGGAACTCAAAGCCCTCACAGCCCTGATTGATATCTCTCCCCCAGTAAACTTCCTTGGTTGGTTATTTGCCTTTCTCTGAAATGATTTCTCAATCATTCCAGCCACTAAAAACAAGTAAGCAGAAACCTGGTTGATTAATCAAAACAAAAAGCTTATCATTTTTCTCTGTCCCAACAACCGAGCACTCTTTACTGAAAATGAAAACGTTGTCAATAAAGCACTCTGCTCAGCACCTGTCAGATACAACACTGCTACAACACCAAAACTATCACACTACACAGGCACACTGTAAATAAACTCAACCCATTTTTCCATTATTACAACTCTAGTGAAACGCGCAAAGGTTTTCAGCACCCAGAGTTAATGCTTTATCACTCATACAAGAACAAAATCAAATCAAATCAAAATGGGTCTCATCTTTTCAATGTGGACATGAAAGTCGAATAAAAAGCAATGAAAGGTTGAAGCGGATTCAAGATTCCTTGAAGAGAGACAGAGATTTCTGGAATTTCCTACTTTTAGGGACAAAAGGACTCACAGTTTCAACACACAGTTCTCTTCTCAACAAAGAATTCCTTTTGTGCACCCCCCACCTCCGCCCTTACTTTTTAGTTTTTACCCTGTCTCTTGGTCCCCTTTCACTCACCATGGTTCCTCCTCTTCTGCACCAAAGGCTCCCTACACTTGATCTTTCACTACAGCATTTGTGCCCTGACCCTTGCAGACCTTTGGAGCATCTCTCCACAACATGCACATTGGATTCCCATCCCTGTGCAGTCTACCCCTGTTCTACATCGATCAGGACTCCCCCCGCCAACCCCGCTTCCCTTAACCCCATCTCATCCATCAATCCTGGGGCCCATCTCTTCCTTGTTCCTCTTACCTTTTGCTTTTAGCCCTGTCTCTTCACCTCACTGTTCTTACCCTGGATCCTGCTGAATCTTCAATTACCATAATTCCCCAGTTACCCTTGTCCCGGACTGTCATCAGTTCTTGCACCTCTACTCTCCTTTCAGCTTTTCTAGTTCCAGAATTGTCCTATGAACGCCCATCTCTAATCTCTATTTCCTTCGCCCTTCCACCACGCTGTATTCTTTACTCCACCTGGTTCTAGTCCAGAGTCTCATTCGCCCTCCCTCACTTTCCCTCATTTACCCCCACTGCCTACCTACCCATACCTTTTTCAGAACCTCGCCTGCAGTTCCCACCACATCGGCGGTCCTAGTCCTTCAGTTCATCTCGCTCTGCACTAGTTCACACCCTTGTCACGTCTGGCCATTACTCTCTCTCCCCTACTCCCAACTACTACCCCAGCTCTGCCCCTCCTTGTCTTCCACTTCCAACTCTTACCCCAGAACCTTTCACTCCAATTACCACCCCCTACAAGGCTTTCCCCTTCAAACCCCTGCTCTTACACTAACCCCAGGATCCTTCGTCTCAGCCCTGATCTTCCTAACCTCATTCCCTGACGGGCTTCCTTCACGCCCACCCTGGTTTTTGCCCCCTTCCTACCTCCTTATCTGGCTTTTTCTCACTCCTCCTCTCCCTGGCTTCTAACCCTTTCTCCCCTTAATCCTCTTCATCTCATTTCATTCTTAGCCCGGTTCCCCCCAACCTCCCCCAAGCCTTCCTTCCCTTCTCCCTTCAAGGCTTCTACCCAAAACCCAGTCGTCGCCCACCCGCCAAAATGAAGCGCCCGCGCGCCCCGACTCCCGGCTCTCGCTTCCCGCCGGCCCCGTGCTTTTGTTGAGTGAAGATTTTGGGAGCCATTTAAAACTGTGAGGAGTTGGCTTCTTTAAAGGGGAGGGCTAGTGTGCCGTAGACTCCTGTCCCCGCCTCCGAGTCTTAGACTGGGTTCACTGGCCGTCGAGGCCTCCCCGGTCCCCGTCCCCCCACCCCCTGGAGCTACCCCCTTTGCAGCCTCCCCACCTCCTCCGCCCCCTTCCCCGGCCCCCCTCTATTTACCGCCATCATCAGCACGCGCGAGCTGTCACCAGGGCGCGAGACAACCGAACACGGCCCCGCCCCCTTCCCGCCCATTGGCCCGCCAGCCGGAGCCCCGCCCCTCGGTCCCCGCATTGCGCCAACGGCGCAGCGCTGGGGCCCGACCCCGGCACCACTCTCCGAGGGTTCGCGCTACGGGCGCAAAGTTTAGGGTCAGCCGCAAACGCGCGGCTGATTTGAGCCTGGCGTAAGGGGCGGCGGCGTAGCGAGGCGTAGTGAATCGCGGGTCGAAGTTTGGTTGAGGCACAGAAGGGTAAATAAGAAGGTTTCCAGACAAAGAGACTCTTAAAGGTACAGAGTCTTATGTCTGTCCCTTCTCCTTAAAGGGCCAGAGATTGTCCCGGGCTCATCTCCGCCCCCTTCTCCCCAACCCTTCATCCCGGGGAACAGCAAAGGAACTTTACTTGAGTTTCCCGTACCCTTTTTGGCTCACCTTTAACATTTCTCCTCACTGCAAAAAGGCAAAGCCTGTCTCGCTATCCCCTCTACATGTTTTTGTTTTGCTCTGTTAAAAGATAAAAGTTATCCCTAAAGCAGCAGTGTGCGAACTGTGGAGTTTCCGGAGGCAGTGTTTGCAAAAGTTACTATTGGCTCCCAGACGGGAGAGCACGTGTCTGACTTTTGCCACTGATGACCCGGGCGGGATTCAGCTGTTTTATGGAAATCCCCCCAGGGAAAAAGGATCTCTGCCGTGAGCTGAAGAAGTTCAGCAGATCGTGGGGCTCGGGAAATAAGCCAGACTGAGTTGGTAGTGGCCCTAAGGACTTCTAGCAGAATGGGGAGGGAGACAATCGGGAAATAGAACAGCGGCTAGTTCTACAAAAGGCTTACTTCCTGAGCAGTCTCCTGGGTGCACTGTCCTGACATAACTTGCGGGGTGTCACCCCAAAATAAGACCACTGTTTCGACACCCAACACATGGCATCAAGGCAGGTAAAGACTTACTTTTAAGTATAAGGACAAGTAAAAGAAATAAACATATGCATGATTAGCTACAGCGGCTCAAGACGACATGACCAATATGAAATAGGGAAGCACAAAAGCCAAAAAAAAAAAAAAAAGAGAGAGAGAAAATACAATGCCTTGGAGCCAAGCGCAGTTAACTGTGAAAGGATTTCTAAAGGCAATTAAACTCGGACATTTTTAGGAAGTTTGATAGGAGGAGAGGCCATGGAGGTGTTCGGTCAGGATTTGTCCTGTGGTTCAAGAGCTCAA